CGATCAGTACCTTTGTATGTCTTCCCAGATGGTCTAGAGAAAAAGAAGAGGATAACAATTGGAGATGGGAGACTCATACCACCTCAAGGAGTCAATGGATAAAAATACTTCAACACCAACGTATTGACGATGAGGTTGGTTTTTTATATACATGCGCATATATATGAAAAATGTTGAAATTCTTCTTTCAGTTCTGTCACGTGTTAGGTCACGAGATAGAAAGAAGAGGATAGTGAAGAGGTAGTTCTATCTTTTGTGAAATAAATAAGATGAGATTTAAAACTGCTGCATTATTAATTAGAATTTTGATTGGAAAGTTGTTGCTCCCAGAATATATTATGAAATCTTCTTAGAATTATTGCTCAAAAAGTCGATCAATTACTTTTTCCCATTTTTATGAAATCTTTACTAACTTTTTTTATGATCTTATTTAGATATTCGCCAATTTCACGAAGTAACTATAAATAATAATGTTGTCACGGCTTTGTCACATTTATTGGAAATTATTATTCTTTTTCCTTTCATTAAGAAATTTTTTCAGTGGTATGCAGATGGGAAAATAACAAAAGACCGTTTTACAGAATGTTTTGTTAATAATTCATTCACACCTGTTTGGCAGATGGCGAGAAAATGGACGAATATTGAAAAAAGCCTAAAACTAAAAATGATTGATCATTTTTGGAACATATTCGATTCAGATTCAAATGGAACAATCGATTTTGAAGAATTCGTAACAGTGAGTGGAAAATAAATTTCATAATGAATTAAACCAATCCATCGGAAAGGATTGGAGACATTACAAGAACTCCCTAATATAGAAGACCCCCCTTGAGTGAGCGAAGGAAAAGACAGATTAGAAGATCCCTCTAAAATCTCTGAACGATAGGACAGAATAGAAGATCCCGGGTCTTCTAAGGTGTCCATCCCTTTAGTAATTGTACAGGATAAACATTCTCACAAATAATAACAGAGAAAACATTTCTGAGTGAGTCATTAGAAATATAGAACAAACATTTTTTCAAAAAATCAGGGATCAACAAGCTCTGTGCGATCTCCTGTTCTAATTCTGAAATTACTTTACTAGTAGCCCTACTCCCAGACTCAGACACGTCTCAGTTGCTGTGTCGGTCTATCTTTGGTATACTAGTTGTCGTAAAAGTTTACAAGCCGTTACGAATCAAAAGTTATTTCTGTTTGCTTTTTGTTTTTTCAGACTTGTGCTAAGTTGAATTCTGAAGGTAAATATTGAAAAAGTTTTTAATACAAATAGATGAATAAAACACATTTTTACCTCTATAATTTCTTTTAGATACTGATCCAACTGAACTATTAGAACTTGTCTTTGAAATGTAATTATTTGTAAACAAACATTTTTATTCGTCAAAATATCGTTGCAAATTTTTTTCTTTTTTCTTTACAAGGGCCGATTTATCCAATGATGGTCATATAACAGTAGATGAACTTACAAAACTTTTTAGTTCGGTAAATATTTAGTTATGGTAAAATAAACTTAAATTGTTAAAAAATCTAGTTTTGAAAATAAGATCATTTATCATAAAAACAAATTGAATATTTGTAAAAATGGCACGAAGCCGTATGTGACTTATACACGGCTTCCTGCCATTTTTACAAATATTGAGTCAAATCCATTGTATCCTTGATTACACATCACTCCTCCCAACGCTATTTCTGGTTGATTAGATGAGAACTTCATGGAACCATATCAAAGTGTAGAAAAAAGTTTAGTTCTTTTGGAAGGACATGTACATAAAGACATTGATTGTCGTCAATGAAAAGTGCTTGGCAGTGTCGTCAATGATATATATTATGAATGTGCCTTATTCATAAGGATGATATTTAATGAGTATTAAATTGATTATTAATGAAAACTTGAATATTTGATCATTTCAAATATACTATGCGAAGTTCAAGTTTTCGTTAAACTGTTCACGTTTTATATTTCGAAAGATATCCTAAAATAAACTAATTTTATGCCAATTTATAGTTTTCTTAATGAAGTACACTTTTTCTTTATAGTTCAAAACAGCAGACAAAACAGAACCACGAAAATTGGCTAGACAAATTACGTACGAACTTGATGTAGATACTGATAAAAAAATATCAAAAACTGAATTTATTAACGGGTATGTTATTCATTGTTCAACTGTTAAAAAGAACAAAGCGATGAAATAATTGTTTTTGATATTTACTTTCAGTTGTATGGAAAAAGAAGAAGATCTTCTACCTTTATTTTACGACATCTTGGGACGAACAAATAAAACTACAGATGATGAGGAAGAAACTGACAGCGAAAAATATGATGAAGGAGAAGATCAAACCAAAAAAGGTGATAAGGAAGAAAGTAATTAAACACATTACATTCATATTTTAATTTCTGAATCTAAACAATGAATAGAACAATTTCATGAATGAAATAAGATTATCGATCAGTTATAGTTTCTGACAGTTCGTATACGTAGATTTAAAAACAAAAATATTCTTCCTGGCGGATTTCACACATAACTGAACTTGGAGAGTTGCGATTTATTTTGAGATTGAGTATTTTGGACTTAAATACTGATTATATATCAAATTATTATTCAGCCTTTTCATGACAAAAGTTGACAACATCTTTTTTAACTTGTTTGACGTTAAAGTTTTGCAACAGAATACCTAACACTAGAGTTTCTTATTTTATTGTTTGTGACATTAAACTCTTCTACCCAGGACGATGATTACGACAGCGGTAGACGATCGTATACTACAGTTTACAATGAATGATACTGCAGTTTAGAATGATGGATATTAGTATATGTCAAAATACGACGCTGTTTACGACGAAATACGATGACGTGTACCGAGGAGAAGGATTACGACGTCATCCAAGTAGAAGCTACACGCCAGTAAACTACAGTTTACGTCAGTTATTAGCTAGATTTGTAAAATAGAGATAAAGGTAAAAAGGTTATTATCGAAACACCGATAACATACAACATCAGCAATTTTCAAGTACAAACTTCAGTCTTATTTTTACATGTTCTCATGTGAAGATATGGAAAAACTGAGTCAGCCATTTGTAAAGCTTAGAAAACTCTATCTTATTAGCATGTTCAAGAATTTTAATAACAAACCCCTATTACACAAAATAAGTTTTACTTTTTTGAGGTTTTCAAAAAAGAAACACGTTTTTATTCCGTACTTTTTCATGTTCCTGAAAAATTCATGTAACTCAGCCAAAAATTAGTTTATTTTAACAATTTTTCTTTTATTTGAAAGCTCTTAAGTCGCACTATAGAAGTCACCTTAATTTCGAATAAATGTTTTTTCCTGTCGACTAGATTCACGCACAAAGACCGGGAATGGCGAATTTTGACCTGTTGTACAAAAACTAGATTTTCTATCGATACTTTTTGTTGTAATGTTCTTTCTTGGATCCCATTAGATAGAGCGCACTTGATTGCATCAGAAATGATGCTTTGAAGCTGTTCAAAATGTGTTTTACTGCCAGAAAGAGATCGAAAATCAATTTGGATATTTGTGTTTGAAAGTTGCTGATGTTGTAAGGTACCAGAGTTTTCCAGTCGATCAAGAATATGTTGTTGTTAATTTTTCGAAATTTTCTTTTCCTGTAGAAAAACCGAAAAAACTCGGAGAGTCCAAATACTCGAAAAAGCGACGATGTTCGCAAAGTTAGATTTTTCGACTTGGACTTTTAATCGGAACGTTCAAACCCGTTTTCTCTTGTTCAGCGTTAAAGGCTGAATTAAACAATGATATTAAATTCATTAATATCTCGTTAATAGGCTAAATGCTAAATCGACCATTGGAAAAGAAGGGTTAGTCATTTTACAAATTGGCTAACCCTTCTTTTCCTATGGTCGATTCGAACGTCCATGGTTGACAGACATTTAGCCTATTAATGAATTTAATATCATTTTTTAATTCAACCTTTAACGCTGAACAAGAGAAATATAGTTTGAACATTCCGATTCGAAAAGTCTAACTTTTGTAACATCGTCGGTTTTTCGAGTTTTCGACAGGAAAAGAACGATTCGAAAAATTAACAGCTACGTATTCTTGATCGACTCGAAAAACTTCATCGAATGGTGTATAATAAGTTCGAAAAAAGTATGCTGCCGTTTTGCATTATTGGCCCCTCCTGTTGTCAGTGGTTCGATAATAACATTTTTCTTTTTATGCCTGTAATACAAATCTTTCTACGGTGTTTGTAGAGAATTAAAAGATGAATCGTTTAAAAAAGGTTTAGTCCGAAGAGATGAAAACTAAGAGTGCTATTGACTAACTACTGAGAGGCTCATTTATTCTGGCCCACCCGTTACTTTTATTGACATCGATTAGCGACACTTGAAAATCCTCGATTGTAAGATGATGAGATTTTTGCTCAAGAAGTTCATGAACATCGAAGGGAAAACTTCGTTAGAGTAGAACTAGAAAGAAAAGGAATTATCATTTGAACTATTTAAATAGAATATAGATGTTGTTAATATCATTTTTTAATTCACCGTTTAACGCTGAACAAGAAAAGATAGTTTTGACTAAAAACCGAAGTCGAAAAGTCTGACTTTTTCAGGACGATTATCAACAGAGTATGACACGCCAACACAACAACAAGAATTAGATGAAGAAAAACGTCCAGCAACAAAGTCAGCATCTTCTGACAATATTCATATAACAAAAGATATAACAGACAGACAAGTTCACTTGTTACACAGAAGAACAATGATGAAAAAAGCAGGTAATTAGCAATAATATCGACAATTTCTATAGCAGAACCTTTTATAGACCTATGAGAGAGAGTAGAGGGCAATATTCATTAAAATAAAATTACTTCCCAACTAAACCAAACCATTTGCAGAAAACAGCTGTCAAATGGAAAAGGTTTCTGTTGATCTAAATCAATTACTATGCAAGAAGCAATTTCACATTCACAATTTTAGAAACTCCTGCAAAAGAGAAAATTCATCTTTTGTTCTTAGAGCCTCCAAGCGGTAGTTGATCGACGTTTTAGCG